CCTTTGGTTGGACCATTATGTCCCCAGGTGCAGAGACCAATCTGAGTAGTGTATACCTAGCCAGAAGTTCTTCAGCAGATTATGAGCAATTGTGTAGCCTTGATGTGTTAGGTATAGAAGATAAACCGGCAGGCGATCAGCTGGCAGTATACAGTGAATTCCAAGAGCAGCTTGTACGTCATCCAGAGGGTTGGTATGAGACTGGCCTCTTGTGGAAGGCTGGCCACCCGCCCCTTCCTAACAACCGAAATGGAAGTCTCTGCCGTCTAGCTAATCGGGTGAAGAAACTGGAGAAAGAACCTGGCCACCTGGATGAGTATGATAGGATAGTACAAAACCAACTTGCGCAAGGGATTGTGGAAAGAGTGAATGTTGAGCCTTAGGGAGAAAGAGAGTTCTATCTACCCCACAAGTTATAGTGATAAGGGAAGCAGTAAAAAGCACAAAGATGCGAATAGAGTTTGACGCATCAGCTCAAGCAAGTCAGACAAGTCCCTCATTGAATGATTGTCTAGAGACTGGGCCTCCACTCCAAAACTTACTGTGGAGTGTGCTAGTGCGAAACCGTTTCAAACCAGTAGCGCTTTGTGGCGATCTCAAGCAGGCGTTCCTACAAGTACGCATTCGAATGGAAGACCGAGACGCCTTGAGATTTCACTGGATCAAGAACAGAGATGTGTCAAATGTGGAAGTATTGCGATTTAACCGTGCATTGTTTGGCCTCGTACAGTCACCGTTCTTGTTAGGAGGGACACGGCAACAACACCTGGAAAGCCTAAAAGAAAGGTACCCAAAAGAAGTGGAGGAAATCAAAAGGAGCATGTACNGACTGGGCCTCCACTCCAAAACTTATTGTGGAGTGTGCTAGTGCAAAACTGTTTCAAACCAGTAGCGCTTTGTGGTGATCTCAAGCAGGCATTCCTACAAGTATGCATTCGAATGGAAGACTGAGACACCTTGAGATTTCACTGGATCAAGAACAGAGATGTGTCAAATGTGGAAGTATTGCAATTTACCTGTGCATTGTTTGGCCTCGTACAGTCACCGTTCTTGTTAGGAGGGACACTGCAACAACACCTGGAAAGCCTAAAAGAAAGGTACCCAAAAGAAGTGGAGGAAATCAAAAGGAGCATGTACGTAGATGATTTGATTACCGGTGGGGTAACAAAGGGCAAGGTGCGTGACCTAAAACAAACGGCCATTGCAGTATTTGGAGAAGCCCAGTTCGATCTACACAAATAGCATTCAAACGAGCCCGAGTTGGAAACGAGTGTGGAACTGAACACAGAAGGTGAGAAACAAAGCTATGCCAAAGAGCAACTGGGAGTTAAATCCGGCAAGTCCAGGATGTTGGGACTGCCTTGGAACAAACCAGAAGACACCATCGCAGTAATGTTTCCACAAGCACCCCCAGAAGTGACCAAGAGGGAGATGCTGCGGTCTCTCGCTTCGGTGTACGACCCTCTTGGTCTAGCATCACCTATATCCCTCGTGGGGAAGTTCTTATATCAAGAAGTTTGTGACCAACACCTCCCATGGGATGAAAGTGTACCCGAAAGTATTAGAAGACAGTGGGACAAATTCCAGAAAAACCTTCCAGACCACCTTCAATTCCCGTGCAGTTTGGCAGGCCATCAAGAAACTATTGAAGGAATCGCCCTGCACACATTTGGAGACACAGGTGGGAAAGGATCAGCTGCTGCTGTGTATGGGGTGGTTAACCGAGCTTCAGGCGACAACAGAGGATTACTGGCAGCAAAATTGCATCTGGCAAAAAAGGGGCTCACTATTCCTCGGCTGGAACTAGTGTTAGCACACATGGCAGCAAACCTCGCGAAAAACATTAAGAACACTCTGGAAGGACAACCAGTTTGATCGGTCCATGGATGACTCGACAGTATGGTGGCCCTTCATTGGATTAGAGGGGAAGGGAGTGCCTACAGGCAATTCATAGCCAACCAAGTAAGCAAGATATACGCGATAAAGATTTTATTCAATGGAGACACGTTGGTACCGACCAGAATCCCGCTGACGTGGGAAGTAGAGGCTGTCAAGCAGATAAGCTGAGTGAGCTGTGGTNTGGTTAACCGAGCTTCAGGCGACAACAGAGGATTACTGGCAGCAAAATTGCATCTGGCAAAAAAGGGGCTCACTATTCCTCGGCTGGAACTAGTGTTAGCACACATGGCGGCAAACCTCGCAGAGAACATTAAGAACACTCTGGAAGGACAACCAGTTCGATCGGTCCATGGATGGCTCGACAGTACAGTGGCCCTTCATTGGATTAGAGGGGAAGGGAGTGCCTACAAGCAATTCATAGCCAACCGAGTAAGCAAGATACGCGATAAAGATTTTATTCAATGGAGACACGGTACCGACCAGAATCCCGCTGACGTGGGAAGTAGAGGCTGTCAAGCAGATAAGCTGAGTGAGCTGTGGTTAAAGGGTCCAGAATGGTTGACAGAGCCCGATCATTGGCCAGATGATATACTTACAGAACCAAACAAAGAAACTGAAGCAGAGGCCAAACTCACAAAAGAGATCTTCGCCACTGCTATGAAGACCAAGGACGACCTTGATGAAGTTTTGGAGAAGCACAGTTTCTGGAAAACAGTGCGAGTGACAGCCTGGATAAGAAGATTCCTAAACAACTGCAAACTGAAGAAAGCGGTACGACTCAGTGGTCCTCTAACTACAGCTGAGACAGACAAGCAAGTACAGTGGTGGATAAAGAGAGCCCAAAGAAGCTGCGGTGTGACGGAAAAGTTCAACGAGGACAAGTTGACACTTAACCTGCAGAAGAACAGCAAGGGGTTGTAGAGTGCTGCGGCAGAATACAAGAAAGCTACCCAATTTACCTACTGCCAAGTGTCCTGTTGACAGAGAAAATGGTCCATGATGCACATGTTCTAAGCCTTCACGGGGAGTGGGTCTCACCGTGAGGTTAATCCGCCAAGAGTACTGGGTGCGTCGCCTAAGGCAGCTCGCCAAGGTCATCAGAGCTTGCTATGGTTGCAAAAATTTCAAGTCACCACTTTCGTGAACCCGCCCACAGCGAGTTTGCCAACTGACAGAACAGTAGGATCAGTCCCATTTGAAGTGGTGGGTGTGGATTTTGCGGGTCCAATTGCATACAAGCTTTCACCAAAGAAGGAAGGGAAGGCTTATATCTTGTTGTTTGCATGTAGTCTAA